TAAGAACGTTAGCATTTGAGAGAACACAAAGAACGAATGCACCTGAACCATTGCAAACGGTTTTGAGCGATGTCATTCAAGGTCTCTAACCATCGAATACTATCATCAGGCGGGACTCAACCAGTTAGTTGACACCTACCATTATGACTCAGTCCACTTTTCAGTGACTTCATGGATCTGTGCCATGTTTTTGTTTGGGGGCCCTTAGCTTTCTTTCAAACTATTCATACATCGCCAAACATAGCTCGACGAGGTAAACTATGTATGATAATTCATGATTATTAATTGTATCTCGTATATTTTAGGGTGTAACATCTAAAATCTACAAATATGTATTAAACAAATTTAATTCCTTAAAACTGACATAGTTGTTCAAAATTCAATAGATATTAAATGAATTTAGTTTATTATCAGAAAGAGTTTTAAGTCTTCGCAGTTTTTATGTTGTGTTAATTTCTTAGTCTAATGTTATTAACTAATCAAAGTGAATAGATTTCCCCCTAATTATAGAATGATTTACTTTAGTGAATATTTGTATTGTCATCATCATAATAGACAGGTATTAGAAAAAACATTTCTACATCTTACTAACGGAAGTACTGATATTCTTGTTGAAACTAATTTCAGAAAGAACAAAGCATTCCTCTCAACTTTCTGTTGTCTATCATTCTCTAATGAATCCAATAACATGACAAGATATTCAAGGAAAGCTAACTTTTGATTTGACAAAACGTATTATTATTTGATGTTTTCTAGTGTAATTACGTAATAGTTAAGAACTTGAAAAATCTTCACAATGCTCATCAAACCTTTGTATTATTCATAGTTGATTACTTATTCTTGGTTAACTAAAATACCTGCATGCTGCTTTTACACAACACAAGAGTTCTCCCTCGCCCAAGAGTACGTGCATGTCTGTCGGACATCTTATCAGTTGCAGCATGACTAGGCACCCCACACAAGTCCTTATGAACCAACTGGATTCCTCCAACCAGTCCACAACCCACTTTCCCCAATCGGCCAAGGCAGAAAACCGGTTAAATCCAGGTAGAAATGGCATCTCGTACGGATTACCGAGCCGTCCAAGCCATGCTCTAACCAGCAGTCATAAAAACCACAGACCTCCGGCTTCCTCACGCATCGGAAACGTTGACCGAGTTTCTCTAGACCCACATCAGCCAATGATCAATGGTCCCGCAAGGTTAGCTAGAACGTACACGTTTCGATGGCGTTGACCTCACGTACTCGACCGAACGCAAGCACTCAGTCATGCTGGGTTTTCCCACCACATTAGGATGGGCGGATATCAGATACTATCAACCGGCAATGAGCACAAGACCCCGAGAGTCCAAATTATGACTCTTGTTAGGGGCCTTAACGCCAGTCGACACGCTGCACTGAGGCATAGAATGTTCGGAGAACGAACGTCGGTCGTCACGTATTCCAGGATCTGTACGTAAGCTTCCTTGAACATAGTCCGAGGCCACCTTGAGAAAGCTGTAGACACTCCATTTACAGTACTTGCTACAATATATCCACCATCAGGTCCAGAATTGTAAGGGAAATGATGGATGGAAAGTCCTCAACCCGGTACGTCAAATAGATGTGAGCATATATGCCTCACGGTGTATGCTGCTTGAGCACTACGTCTTCCGGACAAGACAGGAAGTCGTCTACAGATGATTTAGTACCCACACGCTCATAACACAAATATCGTGTCGACCGCTGCACAGGAGCACGGTTTATGGTCATCGCTATGGCATAACACCAGACCTGATAGGCCTAGACGAACCCGGTTCAGACACCAATAGAAATACGTAAGCTTTTCACAACCACATTACGAATACATTGTACTTTCGCTGTATGGACGGGTGTCAGACTTATAGGTTTTTGGTCTGAATTCCCCAGAGTGACAGCTTTGTATTCACAGCCTCATGACCGCCGATACGTGCTATCATTCTGGACCTCCCTTTCCATACGTACTGATCATGGTATCTGTAGCAAACGGACATACGACATCTGGCCAAAGCGCCATAAACAACGAAACTTTTCTGGCAGGACCACAAAGAGGTAGTCTCCAACGCGACTCCCAGAATGCTCCACTTATGCCATGTACTCATCAAATAAATAACGAAGCATTTGGCTACCTTAAGAGAGTCATAGTTACTTCCTTTGTATCATTCATTGTTTATAACTTACTTAATTACTTACTTAATTATTGACGCCTGTTACCTACAATGGAGCTGACCAAAAAAATAATTCATAGTTTTCAAGTTCATAGATGAATTAAATTACAATACTTTTGGCCAAAAATAAATGAAACTCAACCAGTAGAATGATAGTGAATTCTTTTCGGAATTTTTTAAAGTCATGACCAATTTAAAGTAATTAGAATGTGTTGCATATATGAACCAATGCACATTCATACTAGGATCCAAGATGCAAATAACTGACTGATTAATGCTAAATTCAGTGATTTATTTATGCAAATACAAATCGATTTTCATGTGACTTTTAGTAGTCACATGAAAATCGAAGTAGGGCTCACAACTTTAATGGCACATAATCTGACTGGATTATTTACGAACGAACATATATGTAACATAAAATAAATATTCCTTTGCATTTCCGTACATCATACTTAAGCGAACCCCATTTGTGACAAAGTGATAATTAGATGATAAATACGGTTTTGTGGATAAATTTATTTCATGAATTCATTTAGGCAAACACACATGAGATTAAAAAGCGTACAGGCATAACAAAACGAAGTGGCGGTGAGTGGACGGACTTGATGTGATGAAACATGTCTAAGTATTTATAGTGACATTAGAGTTTGCAATGCATATATACACAATGAGGGAAACACTAAGATATAAGCGGAATAATTGACAAGGTCGAAAGATGTATGAATAGTAATTCAAGATGACTGGATTAATTAATTTGTCCAAAGAATTAGGATAAACCATTCGGGCTCGACATATATGTAAATCCCCACTATATTCTTTTATAAAGTAATAGATAGAGTTCTCTAAACAATTTTATATATGTACCAATAATTGCTAAAATCCGTAAGAAAGAAATCTATTAAAGTGGATTAAATTAGTTAGCGTTAACAATAGAATTGATACTGTGGTGCGCGCTACTTATAAGTAGTATATGACGCGAGTAAAAACGTAATGTCTGGCAGCAGAAGATGGGGGAAGATCAAGAAAGGAAGAGTGGGAACACAATGGAATTTGTATGAAACGCATGAATAGTGAAATGTCAGACAATGGATTGATGATGGGTTGAAGATTTGCAAATTAACCGTTTACGATATGGTTTTCCTATTTTACTGAGTAACTCTGTAATTTTCGTTAAATACAATTCGTTTGCCCTCACCTGTGTTCTCCTTTACTACAATATTTCATGTCTTATTGAATGCAAACCATATCATTTCCATTTGACTAAAGTATTTGTTACAAAATCATTTATTAAACCAATCTATAGAGTAATCATTAATTTTACTGTGAAATCTAAAGATCCCACACATACATTTGACAATTTAAGACTATTTATCAAACATGATAGAGCTTTTGTAGTGAAGGGGAATACATGTGGAGCAACCGAATTGTATTTAACGAAAATTACAGAGTTACTCAGTAAAATTGGAAAACCATATCGTAAATCGTTCATTTGCAAAATATCAGTTCATCATATCGAACTGGACTGTTCCTGTTGCAAAACATCAATCCATTGTCACTATTCATTCGTTTCATACAAATTCCATTGTTTTCTAACTCTTCCTTTCTTGATCTTCCCCCATCTTCTGCTGCTAGACATTACGTTGACACTCACGTCATATACTACTTATAAGTAGCTCGCACCACACTTTCAACTGATACGATCTACTAAATGTTTGAAAGATAAAGATTGAAATTAGAAAAGTGTGGAAATAGAATACAGCGAAGATATAACCGTTGGATGTCGACTTAAAGGTCTAGAGGTTAAACTTTGATTCATGAAACCAAAAATCCTAGATATGATTCCCGATTGAGTGGTCTTTAATACACAATGACGAGGAGAGGCCCCCACACTAGGATGAAACGGTTGTCCAGTAGTACTTCTAGGTTTATAATGGTAGTCTAACTTAGAATCAACAAGAAAACACACCGACTGATGAAAGCAATAACATAATGCCGTAAATAACGCAACACGATGAAAGCCGACGTGGCTGCAGCTGAAAAAATATTTCACATTCTCTTCAACAAGATTTGCGATGAAGAACGAGTACCAACAGACTAGAAAGAAGGATACCTTATCATAATACCAAAGAAAGGCAGTCTCTGCAAGTGTCAGAGCCACAGAGGCATCACTCTTTTCTCAATACCAGGCAAACTCTTCAACAGGGTGTTGCTAAACAGAATAAAAGACTTCGTAGACGCCCAACGTCGAGATCCACAAGCTGGATTTCGTGAGTATCGATCGTGTACTGACCAAATCGCAACATTACCGATCATTGTGAAACAATCAATTGAATGGGACTCACCACTCTATATCAACTTCATCGACTACGAGAAAGCATTCGATAGCGTGGATATGAAAACACTATGGCGTGCCTGAGAAGATAAGTAACATCATACGGAATTCTTATGGTGGAGTAAACTGCAAAATCATGCACGGAAGACAGCTGACAAACTGGTTCGAGGTGAAGACCGGTTTCGGGCAAGGTTACTTACTCTCACCCATTCTCTTTCTCCTGGTGATCGACTGGGTTATGGAGACGGAGGGAAGCACGGTATCTAATGAACAGCTAGGATGCAACTGAACGATCTGGACTTCTCAGATGACCTGACTCTTCTGTCTCACACGCAACAACAAATGCAAGAGAAGACGACCAGTGTAGCATCAAACTCAGTAATAGCAGCAACAGGTCTCAACACACATAAAGGGAAAAGCAACATTCTACGATACATCACAATATGCGCCAACCAAATCACTCTTGATGGAGATTCTTCTGAGGACGTTAATGCCTTTACATATCTGGGCAGCATCATCGACACCAAGGTGGATCCGATGCAGATGTGAGGGCGCGGATCGGCAAAGCAAGGACTGTATTACAATTGAAGAATGTCTGGAACTCAAAACAACTTTCAACCAAAACCAAAATCAGGATTTTCAATATAAATGTGAAGACAGTTCTACTGTATGGAGCGGAAACATGGAGAACTACGAAAGCCATCATCCAGAAGATTCAAGTATTCATTAACAGTTTTCTACGCAAAATATTTCGGATTCGTTGGCCAGACACCATCAGCAACAACGAACTGTGGGAGAGAACAAACCAAATTCCAGTGGAGGAGGAAATCAGAAAGAAGTAGTGGAAGTGGATAGGACACACATTACGAAAAGCAACCAACTGTGTCACAGGACGAGCCCTTTCATGGAACCCTTAAGGTCAAAAGAAAAGAGGAAGGCCAAGGAACATGTTACTCCAAGAAGTACAGAAAGATATGAGAAAAATGAACAAAAATTGGGCAAAACTGGAAAGGGAAGCTCAGGATAGAGTTGGCTGGAGAAAACTTGTCAGTGGCCTATGCTCCATTGGGGGTAACAGGTTTGGTTAGCGTTTTTTTGGCAAGTTAGTTTTTGACGGAATGGGGTCGCCAACCCCATGTCCAACCCTCCTCCTTTACCCGGACTTGGGACCGGCAGTTGCCCCGAAGGTTATGCTGGCGGCGTTAGCGGGGGGAAACAGGTGTAAGTAAGTAATATCATACCTAATTTAAACTTTTAATCATTCCTTTTTATTATTTTTTATTACTTTCTCTCTCTCTGTCTCTTTATTTATATATAATCACAGGGATTACTTGGACGTTTTCAATCATCATCATTTACACCAGATATTAATGGTATTATTCTAGCAGCACATCGTGATAATTATGTGATATTAAAATTATTACTTGATCGTGGTGAACGAATTTGCAAACCACATGATTTACGTTGTGCATGTCATATATGTACACAATCAAGACGTGAAAATGGTTTACAACATTCTAGATTACGTATTAATACATATCGTGCATTAACAAGTCCATCATTTATTTTATTAACTAGTAATGATCCAATTTTAACAGCATTTGAATTAAGTTGTGAATTAAAAAAGCTAGGTGAACTTGAAAATGAATTTAGAGTAAGTATTTTTTTTATGATTCATTTTTTAATTTGTTACAATGTTTGATTTGAATAATACCGATAGAGATGGATTCTAAAGATCCTCATATACTAAATGAAACTGATCACTTGGAGACTTTAACGTTAACAGTGTACAAATACAAGCCGTAACAAACATAATTAAAGTTGACTCATGAAAGCTAATACAGTTTAACATAGTAGTGTAGTGAACGAGAACACAGGTAAGGGCAACCGAATTGTATTTACCCGAAAATTACAGAGTTAGTTACTCAGTAAAATAGGAAAACCATATCGTAAACGGTTAATTTGCAAATCTTCAATCCATCATCAATCCATTGTCTGACATTTCACTATTCATGCGTTTCATACAAATTCCCTTGTGTTCCCACTCTTCCTATCTCTTGATCTTCCCCTATCTTCTGCTGCCAGACCTTACGTTTACACTCACGTCATATACTACTTATAAGTAGCGCGCACCACAATATCACTAACCAAAACTGATCAGTTGAAGACTGTAACATTAACAATGTACAAATACAAGCCGTAAAAAACATAATCAAAGTTGACTGATGAAAGCTAATAGAGTTCAACAGAGTTCTTCAGTAGTTCTCATCAATTATATTTGTGGAATTTCATTTGTTATAAAAAAAGTAGTAGTTGTGAGTAGGTATGATTATTTAGTTTAAAAAAACCTGGGTTATTACTTACTGACTTACACCTGTTACCCCCAATGGAATATAAGCCTCCGATCAGTATTCTCCAACCTATTCCGTCCTGGAGCTTTTTTTCCAGTTCTACGCAAGTTCTGTTCATTTTCCTCACATCTGCTTCCAATTCTCTGTGTAATATATTCCTTAGTTTTCCTTTTTAGGCTTGAGGATTTCAAGTTAGCGCATGTATTGTGAGGCAGTTGGGTGATTTCTTCAATGTTTATCCTATCCACCTCCAGCACCTTCACCTAATTTCTTCTTCAACTGGAATCTAGTTTGTTCTCTTGCATGATAGTTTGTTGCTGAATGTGTCTGGTCTACGGATCTTCAGTATATTTATACTTGTTAATAAAAGCACCTGTATCGTTTGCATGATGTCTTTCGTAGTTCTTCAAGTTTCTGCTCCATACAGTAAAATTGTCTTAACTTCTGTAAGAAAAATTGTGACTTTGATGTTAGTTGATAGCTGTTTAGAGTTTCAGATATTCTCCTATTGTAGAAATGCTGCACTTACCTTGCCAATCCACTTTGTTTATTAATGATGCTTCTGAGATAATGTAAAGGTTTCCACGTCTTCCAAAGCTTCTTCGTCAAATTTGATTTGGTTAGCGCATGTTGTGTTGTGTCGAAGAAGAGAAAGCCAAGGTTATACGCTTATTAAGTAATCTACTTTATTTCACTTACCAAGTTTAGTACTACTATTACGTAACAGTTAAACTATTAGCATGTCGTTTCAGTATTTATTTAAAAAGATAAATTTAAGCAAAACTAATTCAGTAAATGTTTATTTATTCTGTTTATTTCAACAAGTTTTTGACTTCAAGATGCACTTAAAATTCCGAAGATCCCGACCGAAGCTGCTACCTTGAAGTGGTGGTAGGTTTTGCCTATCGTGATCACCCAACCGAGCTATATTGGCTGGAACATATGTCCCTGTAGGTCCTACCATGCCAGGCAGGTCAATTGGAGAACGATGAGACTAAAAGCAGCTACTCAGGGTCTGAGGGCGAAGTCGTACTGCTGACTGTGATGGAGGGGTGTGACAGCAGTAAGGTGTTTCCCTCGGACAACCAGCATCTGCAGCGATGCTGCCTTCTCACAAGGAAAGAAGGGTTAGAAAAGGTCGGCCCTAAAAATGTCACACCTCACCCTTCCTCACGGATTTCCGTCTCCTTGGTTAAGGGTGCCCACTAAGGGCTTTCAAAAGCGGAGCTAATCCTCAAAAAACCTTTCATAAAAAGGCCGTGCGTGACCGGCCTCAAGCAGTTTTCCCTTGGACTCTGCGGTCACGCACCCAGGTCTCCAAGACCAACACTAATCTATCTTCCTTTTCAGGTCCCTCAAGAAACAACCTTCCACGGTGTGGGCAGCCGGGAAGTGATAACCGCCCTCATACCCGTAACAGCACACGAGACCAAATTGTTCAAAATCAAATCCTTCCTACACCCACACATACCTCTCTTCTCTCCACAACTAACTCTACTCACATTCCTTTATCTCACTGCACCGCTAATGCAAACGATGCGAGTTCACGAAACGTCATTCCTGGTTTCTTGAAACCTCGTTCTAGAATACATGTTGGAGCTTTCAATGTACGGACATTGTATCAAATAGGGCAGAAGCCTCATTAGCTGGGACTTGGGAATCTACTGCCATCGATGTATGCTGCATCTTTGAAACGCGCATACAGGATCCGAGTAGCGTCATTCACTTGACCTCACCATGTCAAGATAAAGAAGCGACTCAATTTACCGTTCGTGTTTCCGGTAGCCCTGATGCTGCTTCCAGGAGTCTCGCTGGTGTAGGTTTAGAACTGAATCTGGATCCCTGTAGATAGTCGCTTGTGCGCCGTCCGACTGAACGGGACAGTAAGGACTCGGAAAGATAGGGACACTCGCCGTTGCCTCTTCGTCATATCAGCCTACGCCCCCACTGACTGCAGCCCAGATGATGTAAAAGATGAGTTTTACAGAAAGCTTTCGGACCTCCTCCAAAAAGTTAAGCGCTCTGATATAGTTATAATGGCTGGTGACTTCAATGCTCAAGCAGGTAGACTAAGTGAAAATGAAAGACACCTAGGTGGATGTTATAGTGTCTCTGCTCAAATAACAGACAATGGCGACCGTCTGTCACAACTGTGCTCAGATAACCAACTATTTCTAGCAAACACTAATTTTAAGCATAAGGAAAAACATCTGTTGACCTGGCGACCCCCAAAGTCGTCTCAACGTTGGACTCAACTAGATCACATTGCCATCAGCCACCGATGGAGGGGTTCGATAGAGGACTATCGCTCGTTCTGGAGCACATGTCTAGATTCAGATCATGCCCTAGTGCGAGCGCGTATTTGTTTGAAGCTTACTGGGCGTAGGAAAGACACCGTAAGAAAGCCTCTTAGGGTTTTACTTAATGATGATAAGGCGAAAAATATATTTCAGGAACAACTAGAAAAACAGTTAGGCGACCATTTAAGCGATTCCCATCCGGAAGCAGGATGGAATGATATCAAAAAGGCTGTGGAAACAGCAGTGATATCTGCTAGTAAGGTTAACCATACGGCTAGAATGAAGCCGTGGATTTCAGTCGCATCCACCGAACTGATGGATGCTCGAAAACGCATCCCACCTAACTCTGAATATGATGAAGAGCGTAGTCAGCTTAGGCGCATACTTATAAAAAGCCTACGTAACGACCGTGAACAGTGGTGGGTGGCGAAAGCAAAAGTGATAGAAAAGGCAGCGGCGATAGGCAACACTAGACAACTTTTCCGCCTTATTAGAGAAACCGGTATTAGGAACCCGAATGTAAGTGAGACTATTTCGGAAAAGGATGGTCTTATTATCCATTCTCAATCCAGGAGGCTGGATCGATGGGCAGAACACTTTAGGGATCAGTTCAACTGGCCTTCAGCCACTCTTCGGTTGCCCACGATCTCCAGTCATCCTGAATGGCAAATCGATCCAAGTCCTCCCAGTTTACATGAAGTTGAGAAAGCTATAGGAAATCTAAGGAGAGGTAGAGCGGCAGGTCCCGATAGGCTTACCCCTGAGATGTTTAAGGATTGTGACCCAGTTTTAACAGTTAGACTGACCGAGATATTAGGTAGAATCTGAGAACTGGACACAATCCCATTTGACTGGTCTCAGTCGCTAATTGTCCCAATCTACAAGAAAGGACAAAAGTCCTCTTGTGACAGTCACAGGGGAATAAGTCTAACTAATATAGTTTCTACATTGTTAGCCTCGATTATACTTAGACGTCTAACTAGAGCTCGTGAAGAGCAGACTCGAGAAAACCAGTCTGGTTTTCGACCTGGACGTGGTTGTATAGACCACATCTTCACACTACGACAGGTCCTGGAACACAGACACACATTTAGACGTCCGACAATAGTCGTGTTCCTGGACCTAAAAGCGGCATTTGACTCAGTAGATCGTGAGGTTCTGTGGCAGTGTCTGTCATTGAAAGGTGTACCAAAGAAGTACATTAACCTTATACAAGCACTCTACTCGAACACCACTGGTCGGGTGAGAGCATATGGCGAACTGTCATCTGAATTCTCTACTTCAAGTGGTGTCCGTTAGGGATGTCCACTTTCTCCATTCTTGTTTAACTTTGTCGTAGACATCCTCTTAGAGTTAACATTAAGCTCGTCAGATTTTTCAGGGGTTGACCTTCTACCAGGAAAGTCGCTTACTGATCTAGAATATGCCGATGAAATAGTTCTACTTGGTGAAGACGGTCACAAAATGCAGAGTCTTCTGACTACCATAAGCAACAATGCAAGCATATTCGGGATGCGGTTCTCACCCTCGAAATGCAAAATGTTGCTTCAAGACTGGGTTTCATCGGTACCTGAACTAGTGATAGGGAGTGAAGTAGTCAAGTGTGTCGACCGCTTCACTTATCGCGCAAGTCTCATCAGTGCTGATGGCCTGGTGTGTGTGACGAAATCTCAGCACGGATACAGAAAGCTCGATTGGCTTTTGCCAACCTGCGTCACTTATGGCGTAGGCGAGATATCCGTTCTCTAATCAAAGGACGAGTGTACTGTGCAGCAGTTCGTTCCGTTCTCTTATATGGCTGTGAAACATGGCCGTTAAGAGTAGAAGATGTTCGTAGGTTACTAGTATTCGATCATCGATGTTTAAGAAGCATTGCTCGTATATCATGGGACAACCGAGTAAGCAATGCTGTCGTTAGGAAACGAGTTCTAGGTAGGGATGGCAGATCAATAGATTAAGTGGTGAAACTTCATCAGTTGAGGTGGTTTGGACATGTGTTACGAATGCCTAACCACCGACTGCCTCGAAGAGCTATGTTTTGTGGTGTAGGAGTAGGTTGGAAGAAAATTAGGGGCGGCCAAACCAAAAAATGGCAGAAATCCATGAAGTCACTGACAAGTGGACTGAGTCATGTTGGTAGATGTAGACTACCTGGTTGGGGTCCGCGAGACGAAAGTCATCAATGGTTAGAGACCTTGAACGACATGGCTCAAAATCGTTTGCAATGGCGCAAGTGCATCCATTCGTTGTGCTCTCTCAAATCCTAATCTTCTGGATTCGTCAACACATCTACCTTTGTCTTTCTAACCTTATCTCACTGAATTATACTTCTTGAATAATATCTTCAAACCCTAGTCTTCTTTATTATAACATTAATACCTCTACCATCTTTATCACTATGGGATTTGATTTGACATTTGCGTCTCTGTGCTAATAATGTGGTATGGCAACATGAACTTATGTACATAGGTACGAAGTTCTTCGTTGCAACTGACTGACTGACTGACTGATAATTCCGAAGAAAGATATTAGATTAGTATGAAGTTGTACTATACCACAGTCAACTTACTTTTACCATTCTAATTGTATATTTTTGACATCTATCAAACACTATGATCTTATTTATATGTATGAATATATTAATTATTAAAATATACATTATTTGTTTAATAATCCAACGTAGTATACACCCCATTAGAACATTATTACTCATTTGTAACTTTTCCCGTTTATATGCGGGTTTTGGCAAGTAACTTTAGCATGAAACGGCCGTTTCGTCCTGGTATGGAGCTCATCAGCAGTGCGCATCCATTACTCTTGCACCTCACACTATTCGAACCCAGGACCTTTGGTCTTTCTCCTTTTATTATTCTAAAATCTCCTATACGTTATAATCTTTGTATAGTCAATTTCAAATTGTTTACCGAATTTGAATATTTTTATATGATCGATAATCAAAGAGATTGAAAAAACAGATCACATGATAACACCTGGACTTAATTTTCCCTTTAAAAAAACTGTCTTATTTGCATTAATTTTGATTGGTTTAGAATTTTTTTTACATTTCATTGTTGTATTTAGAAATAGGATTCTTTTTTTTAAAAAAAAAACTAGAATTCCCGTGATTTCAATTCGGCAGATTCCAGCTGTGTGCTACTACGTCTATGATACTAAAATCGAATAAAAATGTCAATGGTCAATGCGATAAACTAAGTTGATAATAGGTGTTCATTTCCGTTTTATATTTTTTGAAAAAAAAACCGGTTTATTTGAAGAGATGATTGATGAACGTTTTTTTTGAAAGGAGAACTACAAATGTTACACATCTAAACCATGGATCGATCAAATTTTAGACCACTATTAGAAACTTGGGAGCACTGAAAGATAGCCGTTTCCTCCTGGGATGGGACTCATCAGCAGTACACACCTACGACTCCTGAACCTCACAGGATTCGAACCGAGAACTCTCGGTCTTGCGAGCAAACGCCTAACCTCTGGACTACGGAGCCAGTATTTAATGGTGTTAATGTCTAGCTCCGATCAATTTAGTGTGTAACTTAAAAACTCTGCACAACCCCGAAATGCAACTACAAATGTATCAAATAACACAAAAAAGAAATGATTTCTTATCAAAGTGTACATATCAAACTCACTTGATTTGAATTGAAGTTTATGGAAAAAGGAAAAACGTTTTAATTTCTATAGCGTCGTAGCTTCAAATAATCGTCAGTCAGTCAGTTAGCTACAACATAGAACTTCATACATAAGTACATCAGTTCAGGTTGCCATATTACATTAGAGCAGTGTGAGGGGGATTGGTAATTCAACTCCCATAGTAGTAGAGGTAGTACAAATATTAGCAGTCATCGAAAAGATTATGGATCGAAAATAGATGTGCTTGTCAATTGATAAACTTGAATGCTATTACGAGTTCATCTCACTCGCTAAACGGAACGAAAATCGACGATACAGTGACATGATAGACTATTCTAATCCGTTGTCTCCGGCCCGGCTAACAAGATCAATAAGTCTTGATCAGTTGTAGAAAGTGTATTCTACAAGCATTAAGAAAATGAGAGATCGGTAAGCACACAAATCGAGCTTATTTATACATGATAGAAACTTCCTTAGGAGAGCCACAAAAATAGCGTATTAAAATAAACCATCAACCAATGACAGTCAAGGATTTTCCGAGAGGGAAATATGAGCTGAAGGTCAAATGGCGCGAATACATGGAAATTCAAAATTTCAGAAATAAATTACAGAATTAGGACTCTTTGATGTTAGTCCTGGGGATCTGACGTCCTCAAAAAAGATATAATTCTAGAAGTAGGTATCAAATCCATACTACCGAAAAATCCCACAGAAAAAAACGTTCATTAACTCCTTAACATAGCTGATTATAATAAGCCAATCAGAAGTGGTCAATTCAGAAGGTCATTTGATGGTCATCAAAACTACCTTAAAGTACGAACGCATATCATTGGTTAAGAAATGAACTCCTTTTTTACGGAGGCAGTATATTTATGAATAATCGAGTGTACATACGTATTGTTCGGTAGCCAAATAGAACTTTCTTTTCTGCCTTTACTTCCTCGCTCAAGTGATCAGTTTAGAGGGTTAACATGTAAGGCAACCAGGTCCTTACTTATTTACTTACTTACTTACGCCTGTTATCCCCAATGGAGCATAGACCTCCCACCAGTTTTCTCCAACAAACTCTTTCCTGGGCTTACCTTTACAGTTCTGTCCAATTTTTGATCATTCCTCTCATATCTTTCTCTATTTCTCGGAGTAATGTGTTCCTTGGCCTTCCTCTTTTCCATTTGCCTTTAGGGTTCCATGTTAGGGCTTGTCTTGCGATGCAACCAGGTTCTGGACCTGTATAATTAGAAACTTTAATTCAGTGAAGTTGTATCAATTTTTATTTCATTCAAAAGTGAATTTTTAATTTTGATAATCTGTTTACAGACAGAATATGAAGAATTAGAAGCAAAATGTCAAAAATTTGCTACAGATATGTTAGCACAAACTCGTAGTTCTGCTGAATTATCAATTGTTTTAAATCATAATACTGGAGCTGATGTATCGAATTGTCATGTGAATGAATTCAGTCAACAATCATTATTAACAGAAGATATTAGTGAAAGGATGCAATTGTCACGATTGAAATTAGCTATAAGATATGGACAAAAACAGGTATGTTGTACAGTAAGATATAAATTGAATATTTTCTTAATTTATTTAACAATTATACGAATAGGGTTATACAGTGAACAATAACTAGGTTTCAGCTGGACGATTTGGACTTCGTAGATGATCTGGCTCTTTTATCGCACACGGAACAACAAATACAAGAGGAGACGACCAGTGTGGCAGCAACTCAGCAACAGCAGGTCTCAACATACATAAACGGAAAAGCAACATCAAAACATGCGCCAACTAAGTCATACTTGATGGAGAAGCTTTGGAGAACGTTAACACATTTACACATCTTTGCAGCAACATCTACAAGCATGGTGGATCCGATGCAGATGTGAGGGCGCGGATCGGCAAAGCAAGGGCTACATTTCTACAGTTGAAAAATATCTGGAACTCCAAACAAATATCAATCAACACCAAAATCAGGATTTTCAAAACAAATGTCAAGACAGTTCTACTGTATGGAGCGGAAACTTGGAGAACTACGAAAGCCATCATCCAGAAGATACAAATATTCATTAACAGTTGTCTACGCAAAATTCTTCGGATTCGTTGACAAGGCACCAACGGTAACAACCTAGTGTAGGAGAGGGCTAACCAGATTCCAGCGGAGGAGGAAATCAGGAAGAAGTGGGGGAAGTGGATAGGATACACACTGCGAAAAGCCCCCAACTACGTCGCAGGAAAAGCCCTCACTTTGAACCTTCAAGGTTGACTGAAAATAAGAAGGCCAAGGAACACATTACGCCGAGAAATAGAAATAGGTTTGCGAGGAATAAACAAAATAAGGACAGAACTAAAAACGGAATTTTCGGACAGAGTCGGGTGTGAATAGGGTTACTTAAGTTATTGGTAATGAGCACCACTTTGAATCATTTTGACCTTGGTAAACTATATTTATTTGTCAGGTAGTCAATGAACTTTGGAATCTTATTTTTTTGGTATGAATATTATTGTCAATTGTTCACCACATTCTTTAGTCGATTTTTCAAAAGTTTCTGGGTTGTAATTGGATCATCTACCTAAATCATATCAAAGTGGCTCATGTTGCTCTGAAATATGAATCATGTATATATCATGTTGCAGTCATGAATTTCGGAAACCAACAGAACAGGGCTTAGTAAGTAGTATGAAATAGTGAAATATATCTCAAAAATTTCGGTTACAATGATCAGTAGAAGATCTGTTAGATTAACTCCTTTGCAAAAAGGTTCAGTTAATTTACCTCCACATGTTACACTCTATTTTGTGTTAGATCATGTGATATTTTCTTTTGAATAGAACATGCTAGATATTGTTAACATTAATAGTATAGGTATCCTATTTGTTGGAAAACGTCAAGGAATGATATGAATCAGCCCTCGTAGACATAGTTAAGCCTTTGACCGTCTCAGTCATAAATGTAATTAGCATGTTACGTATACCATATTACATCACAGGTTTAGCTTGAAGTAACTGAAGTAAAAAAAAATGTTTCCTCTAATTGACAGTAAATATTATTGGATGCGTTACGATATTTAGAAAGTTAGCTTTTGCATTTTATTTTCATACAGCTACGATACTATACAATATTGTAAGTTTCTGTCAAACACAGGTCTCTCATACAAAACATTTACTAACTAGATATACTTTCAAATTCCCCTTACCTTATCCATTTCAATTTTGTTATGATCTAATGATCTTCCTTTCTTGATCTTCCCCCATCTTCTGCTACTAGACATTACGTTTACACTCGCGTCATATACTACTTATAAGTAGCTCGCACCACAATAGTATTTTTTACACTATTCACTAATTCCGCAATGAATCATAAATGAATTATTTATTTACTTTTTATAATTTATTTCAGTTTGTTGCACATCCACATTGTCAACAATTATTAGCTGCTATATGGTATGAAGGATTGCCGGGATTTCGTCAAAAACCAGTATTTGCACAATTAGCTACCATTGGAACGCTGTGTTCATTATTCCCTGTATTAGCTACATTTTATATGCTTGCACCACATTCAAAATTAGGCAATATGATGAAAAAACCATTTATTAAATTTTTATGTCATA